CGGGGACATGCTTTAGTGTGAAGTCAAATTGGTCGATGAAGTACATTCATCGTCCGATCGTGCTGCTCACCGTGTCTTGCGTCTTGTAGTAGGTCAATGGATTGTTGTYTGTGATCCATGTGAACCTACGACGCCCAAGGAGGAAGTGCCGCCAGCGTTTAAGAGCCATCACGAATGCGAGCAGCTCCTTCTTCCTTGCATCATCAAGCGAGTTGATGGGAGGCACTTTGTGGCTGAAATACTCCACAGGGTGTCAGTCGTCGCCGTCGTGCTGTTCCAAGACTGCCCCAATGCCACAGCTGGAAGCGTCCGTCGTCACTCGTGTCGGCAGGGTGGGGTCATAAATGCTTAGGACGGGTGCCATGAGCATAGCCGTCTTAASTGCTTGGAATGACCGGCGTGCGTCGTCATCGAATACGAATGGCACCTTTGGCGACTGTAACCTCGTCATAGGTGCAGCAATCCTGGAGTATCCGGTGATGAATCGCTAATAGTAGCCCGCCAACCCCATGAATGAACGAACGTCCGTGATGTTGGTGGGCTCGGGCCATACTCGTAGGGCCTCGATCTTGTCCGCAAGCGGACGGATGCCTTGCGGCGTCACATAGTGTCCCAAGTACTCCAGATCCTGCTGTGCGAACTCGCACTTGTCGCGGTTTGCTTTGTACTTGGCTTGTCGTAGCCGCTCCAAAATGGTGCGCAGGTGTTCCACATGCTCGTCCAGACTCCGGCTGTAAGCCAGAATGTCAGCGAGGTAGATAAGTACGAAACGATCCAGCATGTGTCGGAACTCCGTCGTCATAGACGCTTGGAAAGTGGTTGGGGCATTCGTAAGGCCAAATGGCATGACCAGCCATTCGAAATGCCCATACCGTGTCTTGAACGCGGTCTTGTAGCGATCCTCCTTGCGAATCTCGAGTTGGTGGTACCCTGACTTGAGATCCAACTTAGAGAAGAACTGGGCGCCGCCCAATCGCTCGAGAAGGTCGTCGATGCGTGGGAGAGGGTCGGCGTTCCTCATCGTCTGCGCGTTGAGCTTGCGATAATCGATGCACAACCGCAGGTCCTTGTTCTTTTTCCGGACGAAGAGAACAGGAGCACCGTATGGCGATGAGCTAGGCCGAATCCAGCCTTTCTCTAGAAGGTCGTCGAGTTGTGCCCGAAGCACACTTAACTCTTCCTCGCTCATTCGGTAGATGCAACCGTGCGGAGGTACGGCCCCGTCCTCGAAGATGATMTCGTGGCGGATGGGTCGATCCRGTAYTACTCCGTGCGGGCCTTCGAACACGTYGCTGTAGGCGTCGAGAAGTTCGGTGATGCGCGGATCCGAAGGTGAGTCCGTCGATGAAGCGTCATGGGGCGGGAGGGCGTGGAGAAAACACACCCCCATCTCCTCGATGTCGTCTCTAATGATGGAAGCTCGCATGCTTGCGGCGGATACCACGTGGCAGCTAATCGAAGGATGAGGAAGAGGCACCGTGCATGGAACTAGTACTCCGTTCCGGTCACGAACGTGAACGATGCGGTTGAAGAAGTTCACCGGGTGATCCTTGCTTCGCAGCCACGACATGCCCAAGATCATGTCGAATTTCGTGTCCAAAATGTCAAAGGACACCGCCTCACTTGCGTGAGGGGCAAAGTACCCTGGGACGGCGTCAATGCACCGGTCGACGGACTTGTGCGTATGACCGTCTGCCAGAGTGACTTGCATAGGCTGGGACTTCCTCCGGACACGTGGGCCAAGGCTGACGCGTACCATGAAGTCCTGGCTGATGTAGTTGCGAGATGCTCCGCAATCGATTAAGGCACTGCAGGTCGCCTCTCCAATCTGAATGCGTATGTATAACAATGGTGCGTCGATGTTGTCGTACCGTTGCGTCTTGAACTCGCGGTCGATTTTCGCAATGTAAACGTGAAGGTCGACAACCTCTGCTCCGGCGTCCATCAACGGAGCTGGTACTGCAGTGTGCGAGTAGTCCCACAATTGTGCCATAAGCACGTTGCAATGCGGTTTCGGCAATCGTCCGGTCGAGGGAACGGACAGCCACTGAATCCCCGACGATAGATTGCGGCGAAGCTGCCGAATCGGTTGCATGCGGTGGACTGTTGCACGTGGAGCGGTTGGTCCAGCGGTGGAACCAAGTGGACAGCATAATCCTCGTAAGTATACCGAGGACTTGCGACATTCGCATCCTCCCCAGATGTGCAGGAGGCCGCTAGCAAGGCGGCCGAATCTGGCGGAGTCGAAGGTGGAGTCGCCTCACCTTCCGCGGAGCTCAATTTCCCGAACTGAGGCGGGGTCGCACATCCTCCTTGCCCTGATCTTGGCACAGGGAGGTCTTGTGCTTGGTGCTGTTGCACCAATAGCAGCTTCCGTAGCGGCCGAGGACCTTGTACTCCGCCTCAGTCAAGCCAAACTTGACCCATGGAAACTGTCCTGGCTGTCCATTTCCGGCCTGCGATGCGGATTTCGCCTTCCCATTGATGCGGGACTTGTTGTTGCTTCGCCGCTGGACAGCAACCACCTGATCTTCGTCACTTGATGCTGGAGTGGCTGCTGGGTTATCTCCACTGTCCTGCTGGACTGCAGCGAAGTGCTGCTGTCGCGGATCAGTTCGTACCTTCTCCACATAGGTCGGCTGCCATGATGTTCATTTCTCGTGTGCAGTTGACCTGTTGGTCTTGATGATCTCCCTCGCTTTGTCAATGATCTCCGCGAAGGTTGAGTACTGCTCGTGATCACCAAGAGTCTGGCTCAATGCCGCATAGGACCTGTTGTAGAACTCACGGCATAGATGCTCGAATGGTAGGTTCAAATTGGGCACAACCGCAATCTTCTGCCACTCCGTGAGCCATTCCCGTGTTGCTGTGTTGCCCTGTGACATGGTGAACAAACGGTTGATGGCGAGTGTCGGCGCGTCGTCGACGATGAACCGCTTCTTCCACAGTCGTGTTAGTTCCTCCCATGTGATTACGTCCTTTAAGTCTGGTACGTCGACGTCGTGGGAGGTTGCCAGGTGGCTCAACCAGGTCTGGCATCCGCCCTTAAAGTTCAGGAACAGGGCGCCGATGTACGAATGCTTGGCTACTGGCAGAATCCTGAGTTGTGTTGTGAATGCTTCCCACCAGAGGACGGGATCCTGTTGCGTGTAATCGTCGAACCTCTCCAGGTTGAAAGTTGGCATCTTGTACATCTTCGGATTCTCGTCCGCGTTCGTCGACTGCAGCTTCTGGACCTCGGTCTTTAATGTATGCAGCTGACTGCTGATGGTGGTGGTCGGCGCAGCGAAGGTGCTGATGTCGGCGAGCATTGCCACTACGTGGTCAACGCGGTCCTCCAGTTGGCGGCTTGASGGTGCACTGCTGGAAGCTCCAGCAGCTGGTCCTGGTACTGCCTGTTCCAGGTCCAACAATCGGGCATTGAGTGCCCGAGTTGCATCCTCGTGGCTCTGC